GTTAAAACATCTGGTCTGGTGATCCCCACCCTGATCTTTCACCTTTCCTTTTTATAGGGTGCCTTTCCCTCTTATGGGGCAAGGACAACCTGCCAGAGACTTCACTCTGAGTTTAACAGGGTGGGGGAAAGTGACTTGTTTGTGTCTGAGGGCCATACTGGAGGGCTCTGTTAGGTGTGCCTGGTGAGACTACAGGTTTCAAACTAGAGTTTTTAAAATGGAGTTGCTTAGGCTCAGGCCTAAGGCCATCCTCACAGGTCCACTGACAGAGGAAAAAAATATTTTAAACTGTCCCTAAAGAAGTCCATACATTGGACTTACTAGGCAGAGGCCTTAAATCAACAGTTGTAAATATGCCTCAATGAACTAAAGGAATCCATAGACAAACAAAGTCACCTTTCTTTGCTAGGGGTGCCCTGCAATTGTTTATCTGCCCTTCTTCCTCCTTGCCTTCCCATTTCTCTCGGCTTGGTAGAATCTGTATTAGCAATCACTTTAGATAGATCTGACTTAGTCTACTTGGGCTGCTATACCAAAATATAATGGTCTGGGTAAGCAAAACAACAGAAATTTGTTTCTCACAGTTCTGGAGTCTAGAAGTTGAAGGTGCAGGTAGATTTAGCATCTACTGAGAACCTACTTCCTGGCTTGTACATGCCTCCTTTTCACTGTGTATCCATGTAGTCTTTCTTCATGTGTGCTTATGGAGAGGTCTTTCTTCCTTTTCTTTTTTCTTTCTTTCTTCTTTTTTTTTTTTTTTTTGAGGGGGGGACTGAAAGAATTCCCCACGCAAAGACACTTCGCCGGGAGAATTCCAATTTTATTGCAAAAAGCAGTGTGCTTATATAGAACTAAGGGGGAGATGGTAGGGCTTAGGTAAATGGCAGGCAACCCGTTTATTGGCAAGTTCTTTCAGATATCAGCTCCGGAGCCCAGGAGTTAGTTCTCATTGGGGCTAAGGTTCCCCGCCAGCGAGATTTGAAATTGGCGCCGGCGGGAGAGTTCACACGGGCGGGAACTTTTCGCGCCACTGCAGAAAAGAAGAAGGTAGGAAGAAGAGGTGCTTAGGCGCCATGTTGGGGTTTTTTCTCTGGGGTATGGCTGCCGTTTATACTTTTCCCAATAGGGACGGGTACATGGGATTGAATTCAGGGCCACTTGCCCACTGAGACACATCCCTAGCTCTATTTTGTATTTTATTTAGAGACAGAGTCTCATTGAGTCACTTAGCACCTCGCTTTTGCTGAAGCTGGCTTTGAACTCAGGATCCTCCTGGCTCAGCCTCCTGAGCCACTGGGATTACAGTCATGTGCCACCATGCCCAGCTAATTCCCTTTTCTTGTAAGTACACTAATCCCATCATGATGGTCCCACCCTGATCACCTGATCAAAACCTAATAGTCTCCCAGTCCCCATCTCCAAATACTATCACTTTGAGAGTAGGACTACAACATACAAATTTAGGAATGAGAACCCAAACATTTAGCGCATAATAGGATTAAACTATTCAATTGGAAAGCAGAGATTGGTAGAATTGATTTTTTTTTTAAAAAGAGATAAAACTATATGATGTCTACAAGAGACACCCTTTAGATCTAAAGCTACAAATAAATTAAAAGTAGAAGAATAGAAAAAAAGGTGTTCTGTGAAAATAGCAACAAAAAGTGAGCTGGGGTGACTATACAAGTAAAAGACAAAACATACTGGAAATAAAAAATTGCTATAAAAGCAAAGAGTTTTATTTTTCTTGTATGGGCTTGGTCCTACATGCCTGTAAACCAAGACACTAAGAGTCTGAGGCAGAAGGATTACAAGTTGGAGTCAGCTTCAGCAACTTAGTGAGATCCTATCTCAAAATTAAAAATTAAAAAGAACTGGGAATGTAACTCAGTGGTAAAGAGCCCCTGAGTTCACTCCCCCGTATCAAAATATAAAAGTAAATAAATAAATAAAAGGGGTGGTATGTAGCTCAGTGACATAGCACAACTGAGTTCAATCTTCGGTACCAAAACAAAAAACAAAATCTATTAGAACTAATAAGCCAATTTAGCAAATTTAAAGGATAAAACAATAACCCCCAAATATTAGTTGTATTTGTGTACACTAGCAATAAACAATTTGAAAGGGAAACTAAAAAAACAGTTTCATTTGTAATATCATTCCAAAAAATAAAATACTTACGAATAAATTTAGTCAGTGGTAAAAAAGTCATACACTGAAAATTACAAAAAAATTTCCAAAAATTAAATTACATTTCAATAAATGGAAAGACATCTCATTTAAAATGATTGGAAGACTTAGTATTGTTAAAATGGCAATGGTTAGTCTTCATGACTTTTGATTTGGTAATTGTTTCTGAGATTCGACCCTGAGAGCACAAGGTAACAAAAAAAAATATAGATGAATTGGACTTTGATAAAATGGAAAGATTTGTACAAGAATGGTCACTAACAAGAGAACACAGAATGGGAACAATGTTTACAAATCATATAGCTAATGTTCAAAATATAAAAAAGAACTCTTACAATTCAGCAAGGAAAAGAGAACTCAGTTAAGAACTAGGCACAGAAAATATACAAATGACCAACAAATACATTAACATTTGTCAAACATTATGTTTTGGTAGTTAGGGAAATTCGAATCAAATTAAAATCAGAAAACCACTTAGCACCTACTAGGATGGTTAAAATTAAAAAAATGGACAAAACCAATTGTTGATAAGGATGTGGAATAATCAGATCTCTAGTACACTGCTAGTGGGAATGTGAAATGTGCAGCTGCCTTGGACAACAGATTGACAGTTCTTCCGATTTAAATATAGATTACAAAAGGACCCAGCATTTGGTAAGGTACATACGTATCCAGCATATATACCACTTCTAGGTACATTTCCCATAGGAGTGAAAACAGGTGTTCATGCAAAAGCTTGTATAACAATGTTCAGAACAGCATTACTTACAAGAGTGAAAATGTGAATGAAATTGGAGTAGAAGCAACTCATATGTCCATTAATTTAACAAACAAAACATGGTTTATACACATAATGCAATATTATTCAGTCATAAAAAGGAGCGAAATATGGATACATGCTGCAGTGTAGGTAAACCTTGAAAACATTATGCTCAATGAAAGAAGCCAGTTAGAAATGGTGACATATTGTTTGATTCCATTATATGAAATGGTAGTGGTTGCCAAGGGTTGGAAGGAAGACAGAGTCAAGAGTGAATGTCTAACTGGCACAGGGCTGCTTTTTGAGGTGATGAACATTTTTGGAAAAATTTTGGGAACTATCTTGTGGAGATGGCTATTATTTTTATAAACACCACTGAATTGTACACTTTAAAATAGCTAAAATGATATTTTTATAATATTTACTTTTCAGTTGTAATTGGACACAATATCTTTATCTTATTTATTTATTTTTATGTGTTGCTGAGGATCAAACCCAGGGCCTTCCACGTGCTAGGCAAGCGATCTACCTCTGAGCCACAATCCCAGCCCTAAAATGATAAATTTTATATGCATTGTAACCACAGTAAAAAAAACAAAACAAAACAAAACAAAAAAACAATGAACAGATTCATGGGGGGGTGGGGGCGGGGGAAGAACCAAAATGACACAATTATTAAAGGCACACCTTCCCCTTGGAGCCCAGTGCCTTGCACAAGCTAGGCAGTGCTCTGAGCTACATTCCAAGCTCTTATGATTTTTTTTTTTTTTTTTTTGAGACAGGATCTCACCAAGTTGTCCAGGCCAGCCTCAGATTTGGGATCCTCCTTGCTCCAGCCTTTCCACTAGCTGGGATTACTGGTGTGGGCCACAGTACCTGGCTAAAAGGAATTTTAAAAGAACATATTCATTAACTGATGCACAAAGCAGACAGCAAACAGGAATATAAATATTGGACCCATACAACTTCTGGCTGATGAGTCCATACAGAAATTCATATTTGCCTCATAGAATATAAATTCTTTTCGGAACGGACACAGAATATTTATAAAAATCATTAAGACAAATTCAAGAAATACCATAGAAACAGGTACTGCTCATATTCTTTCCATAATTTAAGTTGGAAGTCAGTAGTGAAAAATAATTTTAAAAATAAATAAAATAAAGAGGGAAATGGTCCAAATGATTCTACTCCGTCTCCCCACCCCACCCAGCAAAGGAGGGAGTCAGAATTAGGAAAAAATCTCTTCTGTCGGTATAGAAATATGATTAGGCGGTAGATTTTGATGAATATAATTAAACTTCGAGTAGGATTATGACTGCAAATAGCATGCGTTGGTTGTAAAAGGTGTAATTAGGCAAAGTCCTTTAGAAGGAGCCTATAAGTTCCACTACTAGCAGCACGCCCGTCCCTTTTCTACCTAGGCTTTTTGCTGGTCTCTAACCACTGACGGTCGATTTCCATAAGCAGGTGAGGGAAGCCTTAGTTTCTTTGATCGTGTGTCTGTCAATTGTCATTCAACTATACTCAACTTGCTATTTCCAAAATTGGGTCTCAGTTCTCCAGAGCTGACGAATCCTGTAACTATGAAACGATGTAGCTTTTATGAAACGCTTTATACAATTACGTGTAACAGTGGGTATGAGGGAGTGTTTTTCACGACAGCCGTCTACCGTGGAGAAAGTGTCCCGGTCCTCACAAACTTTAAAGCCCGCCCAAGTTCTTTTCTAAGAACCGGCTTCAGTTTGGAGACACCCGTGCCTGGGCGGTTTCCACCATTACAGGTTGTCTGGAGGGGCGGGAAGGGGAAACTCCCCGTGAGGAGGCGGAGCCCCAGCCCAAGGCGGCAACTAAATGCACCACCTTTCAGTATCTACTGGCCCGAGGCAGGCGGAGTGACTAGCCCGCCGCCCTTTTGCTGGCGCCTGGGTCGACGCCTGCCTGGCGGGAGTCAGCTCGCCCCGCCCCTCCTCCGATATCGGCGGGCGATTGGTAGTGCCTGCACGGCGCGCGCCGAGTTCGACCGGCGCTGTCTTCAGGGGGAGGAGCCTCTGACGCCGCCTCTGTAGCCGCTGCCGCCGGCCTGGTGTGTGAGGAAGGGCCTAGGCCCGGCCTGCTGTAGTGGGGTTTGCCGGGCGTCGAGCTCCTCTCGTTCGTCTCCTCAGCGCCAGCTTCGCCCGCTTCCCGTCCCCAGCGGGCTGGGCGTGGGGAAGACCTGCGGGAGCCATGGAGGATGAGGTGGTTCGTATTGCCAAGAAGATGGACAAGATGGTGCAGAAGAAGAACGCGGTGAGCGCCGCGGGGCGCGGGCTGAAAGGGAGGCCGCGTCGGCCGGGCCGCGGCCCTGAGAGCTCTCTCGGCCCTTCACACCCGGTTCTGGAGTCTTCGACGCCGCAACCCGGCGCCAACCGCGCCCGAGTGCGCGGAAAGGCGTCGCGGCGAGGGCGCGCGGTCTCCCGGCCGCCGGCGTTAAGGCCGGTTCTCGGTCCCTTCGTGTTGGTCCAGCGCAGTGAGGCTGATCGGGTTAGGATTTAGGGCACCTTCTCTTCTGATTGGAAACTTTAGTGGTCGTAAAACCTCCTTTACGTAGCAGAAGAATCCAAGAGTCAAGAAAGCTCTCGCTGTCGGGAAGAATACGCTCGGCGCTGGCCGGTAGTCAGCCACTAGAAACTGCCTCCAAGGGAGGCTTCTGACCGGTTTTAGACCTCAGGGGCTAAAATGTCAGTCCCCGGGATCTTATTTTTGAAGAGGGTTAAACGTCTATTTGGTTACGGAAACTGCATTACAGGTTTGGTTAGCAATTAAAAAGGTAGGAAAAAAATGCCCGTCTCATGCAAGTGGCTAAACATTATTATTATTATTATTATTTTTAAAGTGGGTCTTGGCGTACAAAAGAGCTGTGATTAAAGCACACATCCTAACCAGGGATGGATTTGGATAAATGTTTCTGGGTACTTTCTGAGTGGCTTATGGTCAATGCCGCTGTCGTTATCTTGTTATTGACGAGTGTCAGTGTGAACGTGTTCTCATTTGTGTGAGGTCGTCATACAACCAGTTTCTACTTTTTGTGGACCTCTGTGTACCACTTTCAGTCCCTTGGCTTCAGAGTCATCTTTTAGCCAAACTTCCATGACTGTCTTCACCCGAATGTGTTTCTCCTTGTTAACATTTTCACTATGGATATGCCTGAAATCATTTTCTCTCACTTTTGAAATAAACTCCATGTCAAACTATTGTGAAAAAAAAAACAAACAAAAAACACAACGGGTGCTCCAAGTCCACAGCACGTAGAGTTGCAAACCATCTGCCCAAAGTTCTTTTGTGATTCATAATGCAGCTGTGGGTACGTAAGGTATATCTGCTTTACAGATAACTGAAGTCAAACATTAAGTGCTCCTATTTAAACTAAGTACTGTGGAATTTGGATTAAGCCAGGAACTGGGTTTTCTACTGTACAGCATGCTTTCTACATCACCACCAGATTAGGAATTAGTGTTAACACAAAATATTTTAGATTTCAAACATTCTGTGTTCCTCTTTTTCCATCAACAGGTACATTACCCAGCATTTTATTTTGTGCCTTGATAATCTGTATTTGCAAGTTTGGCCTTTTAAAGTATTTCCTGTTTGTTTTCTGTTCCAAATATTACTTGTACCATTTTTTAAAATTGATTCAGCTGTTTTTTTAATTCTTCACTGCAAGTGATGAGTTTTGGTTATTTGATAGGTTTAGCATTCTGTTATTTTGAAATTTTGAAATTGGGAGATTTCTTCTCTTCCTGGAGTTCTGAAGATTTTCACCTTAGAAGCTTCCATGGGGAGAAAAATATATGATTTTTTTTCCACTTAATTCAGGTTATGTGTGTATCCTTTAATCATCTGATACATTAGGCATTTGTTTTTCTATCTTCCCTTTCTTTGTATTATATATTTCTTAAAATGAGAAATTCCTTAGTGGACAAGTATGAAGAAGAGAAGTATGTATTTATCTTCAGTTCTGACTGATATTTAGTAATCCATCTGGGAGAGAATAAGAATAAACTCCAGATAATCTTCAAGTCCAATTTTTCATATCAAATAAGTTTTCTGATAGTTCAAAACTTAACCAGTATGAAAACTTGTCCCCCTCTCCCAAAGAAAGGTAAAATTGGCTTTAAAAATGTTTTTGCTTGTTTCTCTTTCGTTTTCCTGTCTATCCTTTAGAAATTCAGACAGGCTGATGAAATAAAGAGAAAGGTCAGAGTGACAATCCTTCCCTCTCCCTAATGTACCTAATCAACCCACAGATACCTTTCTAAATGTTCAGAAGTTGTTTGGGGGGTTGTAGAATTAAGGAAGATTTCCCCCCCTTGTGGTGTGTGGATTTTTCTCTTATGTGTTATATTTTGTACTTTTATATGATGAAAGGAAACTTTGCTTGAAGAGTAATAGTTGTTATTTCACTTGACAAATTTAAGTGCTGTTTTTGAGTATCGTTTTAATAGAACTGTAGATGTCACACTTAGCACAATAAATGATATGCTGTTACTCAGCCAAGTATTCTGCCAAGTACAGTGTTTACCTACCTTAGCTCTTTTATTGCTCAGACAGTTTTGTAAGGTAAGTATTATTCTTATCCTAAAAATGAGAATTTAGGAGGTTAAAACTCTGGCCAGAACCACTATATACTTTCTGTCTGTAAGTATTTGCCTATTCTGGAAATTTCATATCAGTGAAATCATGTGGTCTTTTATGACTGGCTTCTTTCACTTAGTATATAATGTTTTAAAGGCTAATATGACTTCTTTTTGATTGTTTTTGCTGACTAGTACTCCACTGTACTGACACTTTTTTTTTTTTTTTTGTGGTACTGGGGATTGAACCCAGTACTGTTTTTATATTTTACTTTGAGAGAGGGTCTCCCTAAGTTGCTGGGGCTGACCTCCAACTTGTGATCCTTTATTTTACATTTACTTGGTGCTGAGGTTCGAACCCAGTGCCTCTTGCATGCTAGGCGAGCGCTTTGCCACTCAGCCCCTGCCCCCCAAAAGCTTAATTTTGATGAAGTTGAATTTATGTATTTTTTGTTTTGTTGCTTATGTTTCTTGTGTAGTGTAGTTATAAGTTTGAGATGGTATAGTGAAATTAGAATTCCTAGTTTTATAGTAATGTTTCTGAGCTATAACTCAAATTTATAATTTAGTATTTTATTTTTTAAAATGTGAATAACATCTTAATTTTTTTAACCTTGCAGTCTTATCTTAAATCCTGAAAAGTGTTTGAATTGATTGAACTTAAATATGCTCACTTAAAATGCTGCCTTATGGCTCTTTATGGTAGAAATAAATTTTATATCTTTGCACTTCTATTAACGGTCTCCTATATGTCAGGCCCTCTCTATTTTGATACTTCATCTGTTGTCTCATTTGATTATTTTGCCTACTCATGTCAGTGTGTTATGCTTATAAAGAAGTTGAAGTTTAATGGGGACAAGTAACATTCCCAAGGTCATATAATTAGAAAACAAGAGTATAGATTTGAATATATAGCCATGTTCTTACTTTTTAAGGCCTTTCTTGTTCCCTTTTTAAATCTCCTTGAGAGGAATGTTTGTATCTTATAGTCTTGTACATACTGGGCACTCAGTACAAATTTGAATACTGTGTTTTATAAAAGCACTTATTTCTGTTAACAGATGCACCCACGGTGTAATAAAATAGTATGATAGCTATAGCTTAGTTTTCAGCCAGTACTGAGAACTAAATATATGACTTTGGATGTAATAGAGTCAAGTCTTTCTCTCTCTTGCATCATTGTCTATAAGAGATGTTGCAATATAATCAACTTGACATTTGGAGGCAAGTGATGATTGGGAAAGGATAGAATGCAGCTTCTTTTTCTTTAAAAAAACTTCTTTTTTTTAAGTTGTTGATAGAACTTTATTTATTTATTTGTGGTGCTGGGGAGTGAACCCAGTGCCTCACAAATGCTAGGCAAGTGCTGTACCACTGAGCTTACAACCCCAGCCCTAGAATGCAGCTTCTTGTTTGATAATGCTGTTCACTTGAGTTCACAGAGCAGTACTGCCAGTAGCACTGGTAGAGTAGTAGAATGGGAAGTGGAAATGTGAGAGTTAGAAGACTATAGTTCTTGTATTTGCTGTTATACTACCCACCGGTGTGACATTGGGCAAGTCAGTTGCCATTTCTGGGTTTAACTTGTTTTTCTTTTCTTTACCCCTTTATAATTGAGAATTTGAAGTAGATACTCAAAAGATTTTTGTTCATTTTAAAATTGCCTGGGACTCATATGTATAATAGCTCAGTGGCAGAGTGTCAGGCCCTGGGTTCAGACCCCAGCATCAAAATAAAATAAAATTTCCTGAAGTTAAAAGGGTTTCTATCTTGTGCACTGCTGTATCCTTGGCTTGGAACAGAGCAGTACTTGGTACATAGTGTAATCAGTATTTATTGAGAGGCAATGGAGTATAATTTGATAGAAATGAGGTAAGTTTCACCTTTTCTAGTTAGTAATCATATGACCTCGTTCAAGTTTCTTAACATTTCTTGTTTCCATTTTTTTTTTATCTGCAAAGTGAAGATACCAGATTTCCTGTGTCCATAGTATTTAGTATGAAGGTGGAATGAAATAATACATGTAAAGTATTTCATACACTACCTGGCATACAGTAAATACCTAAGGTTGTTGTCACTAAATTAATGGCAATAATCATCTGCTTTCTGCCAGTTTCACTCATTCAGATCATCATAGTTGTTTCTTAAAGAAACTTAAGTGAAATATTATTATTATTATTATCATTATTACTACTACTACTACTACTACTACTACTACTACTGGGAGTTGAACCCAGGGCCTTGTGCATGCTGGGCAAACTTTCTATATCTAAGCTACAGCTTCAGCACTGAAATATTGTCTCAGATGGTTAGAAAACAGTGTAATTATGAGAAAAGGGTCATAGTTTTTTATGTGTTAATGTAGCTTTTTTCTTACTGCCAAGATATATCTTAAAAACCAGTCTCATTAAAGAGGCCTGAATAGAAAGGAAAGTAATGAAATTAATGCAATCTACTGCTTCTACTTGGCAAACAACCTAAACCAAATGTCATATTGCTGATGTGTTAGAAGAATCAACTTTAAGTATGCCAGATGGCATTATATAAGCCTCAGGAGAGAGACTCCTTTTTAAGAAAATCCTAGAAGTATAATTTTTTTTTCTTCCTTTCTAATTGATCTGTAGTCAGAAATGGATCAGAAAGTCAGTAGAGATGTGGGTAGGAGTAATGCCCTTGGTATATAAAGGACACAGGTCCACAATCTGTTAAAGCCCTTGTGGTCTGATATATTAAGGAATTCAATTTTTTCAGATTTTATAAAATAATATGGTCTGTCATATTATGTAACACTCTCTAATTAAATCTGGGCAGTTTTTAGTAATCAGATATTAACATTTCCATAGTGAAATGTAGTACTCTTACATTAAGTAGGTAAGTAGAATATAAATAACTTTACATCTGCTGAGATTAGGTTTTGCTACCAAATGGGTTATTAAAATCCTATGAAAAATCTATAACTTTTTGGATTTTTGAAAGTTTTTGGACTTGGGATTTGCAAATAAGCAGTTGAAGACCTCAGTTGCTCCCCATAGTGTAATGCTGTAGAAATTTTTGTTTAATAATAAATTATAAGTTGATGTTAGTTTTCTTTTCTAACAGTTTTTCAGTGCCTCTGAATAAAAAGAATTTATAGCATTTTAAGATCAGAAGGTATCTGGAAGCAATGAATTATTAAAACCCTTTGTAATAACCTGTTTTGTCATTCCTGTTGAACTTAAAATTTTATTTATGAGATACTGAATTAAGTTAAAATGATCTAGCTGAATACTGTGGTGCATGTCTGTAATCCCAGCTACTTGGGAGGCTGAGACAGGAGGATTGCAAGTTGGAGGTCAGGTTGGGCAACTTAGGGAGAACCTGTCTCAAAATACAATAAAATAGAAAGGGGGCTGGGGATATATTCTCAGTGGTAGAGAGCTTGTCCAGCATGTGCAAGGCCCTGAGTTCAATCCCTAGCACCACACAAAAAAGAAAAAAATAAATGAAATAAAATGAACTTTATTTATGTTGCCAGAAGAAAAGTTATTGTTGTTTTATTCTGTGAATCAACTTCAAATGGAGCAATCACGTAGGTGGAAGCCTTTATTTGATTTTTATTTAGGAAATAGCATATCATGAAAGTTCTTGCTTGTTCCTTCATGGTATGTAGTGAGGGGCATGCTCTGGGATTCCCCCCACCTCCCCATATGCTGTGTTTTGTTGATTTGTAAGATACCTAGTTTTCAGATTTTAGTTATTTTGAAAAGCAGGATTTTACCAGTATTGTTGACAAGATGACAGTTGTGATGTACTTTCACAAGCAGAACATCAAACCCAGTATCATAACCTGTGGAATGGAAGAAAATCTGAGAGACGTTAGTGGAGCACTCTTGAACCCTGAGGGACTAAATGTTTATGAACAGCAGTAGAAGTGAAAAATTGCTCTACACACTACAAAGGCAGCCTGAGGGCTAATGGTCTTATCCCTTTTATGCATTCTTTTATGAATTACTAGTATTTTGATAAAATTCTTTGGGTGCTAAAAACAAATATGTTGAATCTGAGTGAAAAAAAAAGGATTCATAAGCATCTAATTCTGAATGTGAAGTAGTTTAATGAATGCTTTAGCCAGTTTGTTTTGCTCATTTTTAATTTTATATATATAAAAAGTGACATGATTAAAAATTTCAAGTCTAGGGGCTGGGGATGTGGCTCAAGCGGTAGCGTGCTCATCTGGCATGCGTGCGGCCCGGGTTCGATCCTCAGCACCACATACCAACAAAGATGTTGTGTCTGCCGATAACTAAAAAAAAATAAATATTTAAAAAAAAAATTTCAAGTCTAAAAAATTCTTTTAGTAAGCAAAAATTAAAAATAGTTTTAAGAAACTTGTATCATAATTTAATAGTTTTTCCTTTATTGCTAGTTGATGATGTGTTTAAATATAGTATATTAAGTATATTACTCTAAATGAAATATGATTAAGTGCATGTATGAGATGAAATATGATATTAAATAAGTATCCAATTGAAATGTTTGGCCAAAAACTATAGGTGGTACTCTTGGTTCTCATCCTTTCTTAAATTTAGGTGCTTTCTGTTATTCTACCATGAGTCTCTTATTTCTTCCCTCTATCATCTTTCGTGGTAAAGCTTTTGACTTCAGATGAGAATTGAGAATGGATAGGATTATAGGCTTATCATAGATCTTAATTTTGAATTTTCTTTCAGATTCAGTTCTTATCTACTTTGCAGGAACCAGGAAAATAGTGTGTTCTTGTGACAGACTGAGATACTAGATTTTTAAGATTGGAGTTGGAGAATATCATGCTAAGCAAAATAAGCCAATCCTACAAAACCAAAGGCCGAATGTTTTCTCTCCGGATGCTAATTCACAATAAGGCGGGGGCACTAGAGAAGAATAGTTACCTTAGATTAGGTAGAGGGAAGTGAAGGGAGGGGAGGGGAGGGGATGTGGGGATAGGAAGGATAGTAGAATGAAACAGATGTTATTACTGTATGTATGTATGTGAATACATGATCAATATGATTCTGCAACATGTACACTCAGAAAAATGAGAAATTATTTCTCATCTATGTATGATATATCAAAATGCATAAATGCATTCTACTGTCAGGTATAACTAATTAAAACAAATTAAAAAATAATAACAAAAAGGATTTTAGCAGAGATAACCTTTACTACACTTTCTGTACATGGGTGAATGATAGAGAGGCTGCAGCATCTTTGGACCTCACTCTCACTTTCTCAAGGTTGGTTCCTTTCTCAGGCAGGTAGTCTCCATGGAAATTTGGAAATTTTATATTTCTGTTCAGAATACACATATAAACAAATACTTTCACAAAATTGTCCCTATCAACTACTTCAAAAGTACTGGTGATAACTTAGGATCCATAAGTGAATTTTATGATCTTCTGATGAGTTTCAACCCTCATTTGAGAGATACTGTGTATGTGTTTATGCATATGTTTATCTTTGTTCTCACATGAATTAATGAGCCATTGTAAATGATTTAGTTGGCTTGTCCCTGCTTCAGTGTTATGGGAATTTAATATAAAATTATTCTATTTTATAGGCTGGAGCATTGGATTTGCTGAAAGAGCTTAAGAATATTCCCATGACCCTGGAATTATTACAGGTATGTGCTCATATGTATCACAGTTCTTTTTTTTTAAATATTTTTTTGTTGTAGTTGGACACAATACCTTTATTTTATTTATTTTTTTATGTGGTGCAGAGGATCGAACCCAGGGTCTTGCACGTGCTAGGCGAGTGCTCTACTGCTGAGCTACAATCCCAGCCCCTGTATGACAGTTCTTTTTAAAAAAATATTTATTTTTTAGTTGTAGGTGGACATACTATGTGTATTTCATTTTTATGTGGTGTTGAGGTTTGAACCCAGTGCCTCACTTGTGCTGGGCAAGCACTCTACCGCTGAGCCACAAACCCCAGCCCCAGTGTATCACAACTCTTAAATTGGTAGTTTTTATAAAATGAACATTTTCAGTATCAGTATGAGTGTGTTGGTCAATCATGTATAGCTACTGCCATCATGAGTCTAGCTCCAGGGTGAGGGTGACAAGGTATTAATCACTTTTTTCCCTTTTTTTCCTCCTTTTGTTGTTGAATGAGAACTCCCCCCCTCCACATTTTTTATTGGTGCATTATAGTTATACATAATGGTGGGATTTGTTGTTAAGTATTCTTACATGCAAAATATAACAGAATAATTTGGTCAATATCACTACCCTGCACTTTCTCCCTCCCTCCCCTCCTCTGACCCTATGATCTATTGCTGTCTCTTTGATTTTCATGAGTAAATCCTTTTCCTTCTTTAGCTTCCACATTTTCCTCTTTTAACCCCACCCAAGCATGTACAAAATGAAACATCAAATATGTACATATGCTGGGGGTGGTGGCGCACGGTAATCCCAGCAGCTTGGGAGGCTGAGACAGGAGGACCTCGAGTTCAAAGCCAGCCTCAACAAAAAGTGAGGTGCTAAGCAACTGAGTACCTGTCTCTAAATAAAACACAAAATAGGGCGAGGGGTGTGGCTCAATAGTTGAGTGCCACTGAGTTCAATCCCCAGTTCCCCACACCCCTCCCCCCAAAAAAGTACATATCATAGAGGTTTGTTACTGAAGTCTTATTTTAATATTCCATCAAGCCTAAAACAAAATGAAATTTTAGCAGATGTCAAAATGTTAAAAAGGAAAGTAAATCCAGGTACGATGGCGCATGCCCTGCAATCCTAGCAACTGAGGAGGCTGAGGCAGGAAGGAGGATCACAAGTTCAAGGTCAGCCTCAACAACTTAGCTAGAGCCTGTCTCAAGAAATAAAAAGCGATGGAGATGTTATTCAGTGGTAAAGCACCTCTGGGTTCAGTCCAGGACCAAGAAAAGAAAAAAAAAGAAAAGTAAACGTAGTTAATAACATTAGCTTGTGCTAGACATATCTTATAATCCATAGTGTCATCCTTGATATTTCTATTTATTTCATTAATCCAGAAATTAACAAGGAGTTGTAGGAGTGTGTGAATATGCTTTGGGAGAAAAGTCACATTCATTTTCACTAATGTCTAACAAATTGAGCAGTTCTTTCAATTATAAAGGCAGTAAAATGCCCATTGTATTAGCAGTATTCATGACTATAATTAAAAGATCACAAATATTTTACCTTCTGTTAACTTATAATTGCAATTGTATTAATCTGTTTTTGCTCATCATGATGGTTGCTCTTATACCTTATGCTATATCCTATTTGCTGTTTTGACAAGGGGACAAATACATTATTATTAAATTTTAAAATATGTTTAGAATTGAATATTATAAATTTGCTTTCTTTGTAGTCCTTTCATTTTATTTAATGCATTTTAAAAGCATTCTGAGAAAGGGGTTGGGGGGTACATACACTTTACCAGGGAGGGATCCTTGGTGCAAAATAAAACAAAACAACAACAACAAAAAACAAGTTTAAGAATGCTTCCTGTAGGGCTGGGGATATGGCTCAAGTTGTAGCACGATTGCCTAGTGGGCGTGGGTGCGGCCCAGGTTCTATCCTCAGCACCACATACAAAACAAAGGTGTTGTGTCCGCCAATACCTAAAAAATAAATATTAAAATTCTCTCTCTCTCTTAAAAAAAAAAAAAAAAAAGAATGCTTCCTGTAAATATAAATTCAAGAAAGAGAAAGGAATAAAGTCATGAGGAACAATCTTCTGAGTTCAAGTTTCTGTCTAGGGACCAGAAGCTTCTCTTTAAATCAATTGTGAGAATAAACTACCTTTTGAAATATACCTTATTCACCTAGACAATTTTAGCAATCTCAGCATGCACTTAAGAGTGTGTAGAGTTACACAGGGTATGGAGGCTAAATATATATATTTTTTAATATATATTTTTTTATTGATGGACCTTTATTTACTTATTTATATGTGATGCTGAGAATCAAACCCAGTGCCTTACACATGCTAGGCAAGTGCTCTGCTACTGAACCCACAACCCTAGCCCTTGAATATGGTTTTCATTTATACCTATTGAATATTCTCATAGGCTTCTTGTTTTGGAAGGTCTTACATATTTATAGTAAACATTTGAATTTTGCTGGGTTTATAAAGATGAATCTGATAAAGTCTTTCCCTCCTTACTATAAGCTTAAAGTCTAAGAGAAGAAAACAACACATATAAATACCCAGGTGGAAGTCTGTAGTGTTCATTTGGAGAGGGAGGAAGCATAAAGAAGTTTACTTCTTTATTTTTTTAAGGCATTTTTTAACCTTTTAATTAATGTATTTATTTTTATGTGGTGCTGAGGATTGAACTAGTTACAATAGATTTGAAAGTGGAGGCATGATGGAATGCAAGGCTTTACATGTATTCCCAAGAGCAGTATTACCAAAAGATATTAGGCAGGACTTACATGGCCAGATTTGTACATTAGAAGTTGAAGGATAGAGACAGGAAGACTTGTTGACTAATGCAGTTATCCAGGTGGGCAGTGATAAGGTCTTGAACCAGATATTAGCAATAGAAATAGAAGAGGTTTTAATAATGAAGAAAAACCTATATAAGAATTGGTTGCTATTTAGATCAGGGTGAAGGAGAAGAGGAATTTAGGGTGAATTTTGATATGGTAACTGGGTAGTTAGTGCTATAGTATAGAAAAATTTAAAAAAGTTGATTTGAAGGTGGAGGGTGAAGAGATGAAGAATGAATTGGACACATTGGAGATGCCCATGAAAAAATAAATTGCAGATATCTAATAAGTTGATTACATCAGCCTGTTAAATAGAACTTTCTGCAATAATGGAAATATTTGATGTCTATGTGTCTATGTAGCTACTGACCATATCAGGCTTGAAATGGGATTGAGAACTTAATTTTAAATTTGATTCAGTTTTAGTCTCAGTAGCCATATGTGTAAACAACTCTATACAGTATTGGATAAAGGAAGAAACTTAATAGTATAGGAGTGGATTTAGATCTTTTAGAAAGGGTAAACTGTTCAGATATAGCAGACTGGTAAAATCAAATGAAAACGGAATAATTTGCTGGCATTCACAATTAGTGCAGGGAGTAACAGCAGGATACTGATATGTTTTGAAGGTCAGAAAATAAACAGGAAGACAGATGTTACAATAGATTGGGCTAATTTTGTAGGTCTTTAAAATACATAGTAGATTCTTTTATTTAGTGATTATAATTTAGTGCCTACTGTGTGCTAGGTATTATTCTATGTACTGAATTCTATGTGATGAACAAAGTCCCTGCCTTCTTAGAGCTTATTGAAAAGACAGTAAATATAACTGGATTTAAAAAAATGTCTCTATTGAAAATAATACCATACAATTCATTCCTTTAAAGTATTCAATTCAGTGGTATTTAAACATATACAAAGAATTTTGCTATCCTCACCATAATCAATTTTAGAACATTTTTTTTATCACCTTAAAAAGAAACCCTATACTTTAGTAGTCATTCTCCATTTCTCCCTGTCTGGTCTCCTTCCTTTTATCCTATGGAAACCACTAATCCACTTTCTTTGTATAAATTTGCCTATCCTGAAGAATTCATTAAATTGGCATCATACAATATGTATGTAATACAATTTAAAAATGGGCAAAGGGTCTGTCTAGATAGATATTTCTACAACCAAGATATAGAAAAGGCCAACAAGTGCATGAAAAGATGAACAATATCATTAAGTAATTAGGAGGTGGAAATCAATACAATATATGACTTTAGCGTTAGCCTTCTTTGACAACATGTTTTCAGGGTTCATTTCGTGTTTTATATATCAGAACTCCATCCCCTTTTATGGGTAATGTTCCATTGTATGTATATACCACCAGTACACATTTGTCAATTAATGGACATTTAGGTTGGTTTGGGCTGTTTGAGTCTTGAAGTTATGCATATTTATGTACAGATTGTGTGAACATGTTTTTCTTGCTCTTGAGTAGATAACTGGAAGTAAAATTGCTGGATCATGTAGTAACTATTTAACATTATGAAGACCTTTTTTGAAGAATATTTTCTCAAGTGGCTGCACCATTTTACATTCCCAGTAGCAGTAAATGAGGGTTCCAGTTTCTTTGCATCCTTGCCAACAGTTGTTATGATCTGTCTATGATTATAGCCTTTCTAGTGGGTGTGAAAGTGGTGTTGATTTCTACCTCCTAATTACTTAATGATATTGTGCATCTTTTCATGTACTTGTTGGCCTTTTCTATATCTTGGTTGTAGAAATGTCTATCTAGAACAGACCCTTTGCCCATTTTTAAATTGTATTACATCTTTATTATTGACTTATAATAGTTCTTTGTTTAAATATAGTTCCTTATCAGGTACAGGATTTGCAAATATCTCCTGTTCTGGGATTCTTTTTTACTTCTTGATTGTGTTCTTTGAAGCACAAAAGTTTTAAATTTTGTGTAGTCTAAATTTTTTTTTTTTTGCCTCAAAAAGTGACATTCATTAAAAGAAAAAAAAAATGACAAGATGTTCATCCCTTGGCTCCCTTCTCTCCCTCTTCCAGCTGCTCCTTAGCCCCCTGGATTGAACCCTGACTGGAGCTAGGTAGCAGGTCAGCCCCTCTCAGATGAGGTCAGCAACATTAAGGTGCATCTCTTCAATGG